AGCTTCGATTGAGCTTGCGATATTCTCATTGGATTCAACAAATCTTTAACCTATTATATTTACTTCTTATTTTCATTTAAGAACTTTCGATTCTCGACTAACATTGCCCCAATGCTTTTTTTCTGTACCTCTCACTATTTTGGAATAGTGTCTCCTATTGCTTTCATTTTCTCTTATAATGCTGGAACTTGATCATAATGGACATTATATTGAGTACCTTCTACCATGAATGATTGGTTTTTATGTTTTCTCAAGATGTGGATCTATGTGGCTCTGATATCAATTTGTGATAAAATGGATAGTGATGGAAGAAAATGGATTATACTAGAAAAGAGCAGAGTAAGAAACCAAGAAAGAAAGATAAGTTGAGAGAGAATTTAGTGATAATTTCCATTCATGATCTTGAAATGATGTTTTACATGTTTATAGCCCATTCACATTATTCCCATTATCACACGACTATCGCACCATCATTTTACATGTCCCACTATCATATAATTAATTGACAACCCAACAAGGTCGTTATACTTTAAGTGGCAGCTTATCAGTATTTATTAGCATCCTTTGCTTCTTCTTGTTGTGACTTCATTTCCATTTTACTGCCAGCTTCCTTTATAACCTAGGCCTTTTTACCTTTCAACCCAACTTCATCATTTTCATTTTTGCAATTGGATGATAACATCACTGAAAACCACTAAAAAAGATCTTATGCTATTTCAAATAACTTCTCTACAAAATCACCATAATCATTGCATCCTTTACTTTTTTTCTATTGTGACTTCATTTCCATTTTACTACCAGCTTCCTTCATAGCCTATGCCTTTTTACCTTTCAACCCAACTTCATCATTTTCATTTTTGCAATTGGATGATAACATTATAAAAAACCACCTAAAAAAGATCTTATGCTATTTCAAATAACTTCTTTACAAAATCACCACAATCTCTTTCTCCTCTAAGTAACCTTTGACTTTGGAAAACCCTGCACCCTTCAAAACGTTCACAAACCAAAATCCAAAAAAAAAAAGAAGCCTTTAAACTCTTAAACCCGAAACTTCAAACAAACATTGCCAATCGGCTTATGTTTTGGTTTCTTATCACTCTTTTATATTCTCTATTAATGATTGTCATGAACTTCTCCTTGTATGAATATTTTTGGTTGATTGTAAATGGATTTTTCTTTTTGTGTAATAGTTTGGTTGTGCGTGATTGATGGATGGTTGCTAGGTTTATGGATGATGGTTATTTTATGAAATTGGGTTTTCTGGATTTAATTGCTCTACTGTTGGCTTTTGCAAATTATTGGGCTTTTTTTACCTATGAGTCTATGTATTGCTTTTTGTCTTTGCTAAAATAGTTAATGTTTTTCGGCTTCTTTGTAATTATGGATATGGATCCTCCAATCTTAGGTTCCTATATTATGTTGATTTGTTGGTGATTACATATTTGGTTAATGAATGGTGGCTTTTGCATTCGAGTTTACATTTGGAAAACTGAGAATTTTGCTTATTCCCCCATCATTGTGCTTTAATGGATTTTATAAAGACTAAGTCCAATAAATCAAGGATTCTAAACGAAAAATTATTTTCAGTTCATGCAAGTTTTGGCTCAATCTAATCACTTTGGAATTCAATATCAGAAAACTTAAATCCTCAAAAACAATTTCATCCAAATCATTATCGAAAATAATGTAAGATAAACACAAAAATAAAATATTGAAAAGATAAATAATAAAAAAAAAGAAAAATAAATAAATAAACAAAACAAAAATAAGAATAAGAATAACAAGTGAGCTTAACTTAGATTAAGCACAATTAATATTCAAGCCCAAAACATTTATGGCTTAATGCCTAATAGCATCTCAAGTCAAATAGTTATTTTCCAAACCCAATTAATTTTAAAGTTTGAAAGACCTCAAATGAGATGTCTACAAAGTTAATTGTTGTTTTGAGGGTACCTTAGAGTCTTTGACTAATGTCAATCGCAATATCACTCTTTATCCTTTACATTATCTAGAGTGTGACACAACTTAAATTCACCATTAGAAGTAGTACCTAGTTGTGAATTGCGACACCTTAGTATTGCTAAAGTGTGCATGTCTGAAGAAAAAGTTGGTTATGCAATTAGACTAACCACCTCCATGGATTAGTTTCTTTTCTTTTACTCAACCTTCATGGAAACTTAACTACCATGGAGTTGAAAAATCTGCCAAGGAAATGGATAAAAAGCTTTGGGGGTAAAAGATAGATAAGTTGGAATTCCATCACAAATTAGGTACCTTGGATGCATTGATGAAATTATGCAACTTTTTTGTTTCTTGATACTCTTGACTATTGTGTGGTTGTTGTCATCGACTTTTAGGTGGTTCATGATGTTTTATTAGCAGTAAAAATGTAAATTTATTACCTCTGCAATAAGGATTGGGATATTTATTTTGGTTGTGGATTGGCTGGTTCGGGTGGAGTTAGGAATGATAATGGTTTGGATTGAATTGAATTGGTTCAATTATTTCGAATAATACATAAAATTATGAATATTTAAAATTCAATTTGATTATAAACCGAACTTTCATAAGATCCAATTCAATCCAAATTGAATTCTACTAGTTTAGTTCATTGATTTTAAATTTTTATTTTTTATTTTAATATAATTTTTAATATATTTAAATAAATTTAAATATAAAATGATTATTTAATTTTATAAAAATTTAAAATATTTATAAAAATTAATAAAAATATATAATTTAATTTGTTTTTTTTTTTTGTTTTTTACTTCCCAATCAAAAATCCAATTCGAACTTAATATATATATATATATATTTAGCATCTGAACTTAATTCGAGCCGAATAAAAAAAAATCGATTTAAATCGAATACTATAATTTTGAATCAATTTTCAATTTTTTGATTTTTTTTTCTTACCTAGTATGCCACTAGTAACCATCCAAAATGACAAAAGAATACTTATATACCAACCATGGTTCTGTGAGAGACGTTGGAGCTCCTGAACTTGTTTGCAATTGAAAGACAAGAATATGAAGCCACCTTCTTTCTGAGAATTAAGGTGGATACTTCATGGTTGAGTGTTTTCAATTTTTCTTGGTCAGTATTGAATAATGAAAATGATTAAATATAAAAATGACCTGTATATTATATATTTTTTGTCAGTTTGGTACCTAAATATATAAATTTGACAATTAAATACTTGAACTTTCATCTATGATATGCTTCAGTACTTCATACTAACATTATTAGTTAAAATCATAATTTAAAAATTTCATAAAAAAAATTTTAAAAATCCAAAAAACAATTTTTTTGAAAAAAAATTAAAATTTTAAAAATTAAAATAAAATTCTAAAAATCTCCAAAAATTCAAACAATTAAAAAAATTACCCAAAAATTTATTTAAATATTCCAAAAATTTTGGAAAAAGGAAAAATATGAAAAATTTTAAAAAATTAAGACAAAATTATAAAAACTAAAAAAATTTTAAAAACTGAAAAAATAAAAAAAAAGTAAAACTTTAAAAAAAATTCATAAAAATAAAAAATCTATGAAAATTTTTAAAAATTTCAAAAAAAAAAAATTTTAAAATTTTAAAAATCCAAAAAAAGTAAAAAAAAAAAATTGAAAGAAATTTTAAAAAATATGAAATATGAAAAATCCTTAAAAATTTTAAAAAACTAAAAAAAGTTTTTGAAAATTCTAAAAAAATTCAAAAAATAAGAAAAATTTAAAATCTGGAAAAAAAAACCAACCTATAAAGTGAAAAGTAAAGTTTGTCCTTGCATGATTTTTCAAATTTTTTTTTTATATTTTTAAGTTTTGCTTTTTATGTTTTCGGGTTTTTTTCTTTTATTTCAACTTTATTGGAATTTACTAAAATCTTTTCAAGTTGTTGAGATTTTTTTTCAAGTAGTTTTTTGAAATTCTTAGGGTTTTTGACATTTTTAAATTTTTCTTGGATTTTTTAGAATATGTTTCGTTTTAATTTTTTCAGATTTCTTAAGTTTTTTACTATTTTTATTAAAATTTTTAATTTTTTGAGAATTTTATAATTTTCAATTTTTTGGAGATTTTTTGGATTTTTTTTATTTTTTATAATTTTATTGTAACTTTGTTATTTTTTTTAGATTTTTTTCCTTTTTAGGAATATTTAAAGTTTTTCATTTTTTTAAGATTTTGGAGTTTTTTTGAAATGTTTACTTTTTTTTTTTTTCATTTTTAGTTTTTCTTGTTCTTGAATTTTTTTTGGATTTTTTTAATTTTTCTTTTTTCAATTTTTTTGGAATTTTTAAATAATTTTTGGATTTTTTTTAATTTATGGGAACTTTTTTTTTTTAGATTTCTAAAAGTTTTTAAGAATTTTAGTTTTTCAGAGTTTTTAAATTTTTTAAAAATTGAAGTTTTATAATTTTTTAGAATTTTCTTTTAAAAATTTTAAATTTTTTTTAAATTTTTAAAAATTTTCTTCTATTACCAAGGTTGCAATGGTATCATGGCAATAATTAAATATTTTTACTTATATCATAATTTTATTGAATATTTATGTCATGTCAATAACTGGATTAACAATTTTAATCTAAATTACCAAAGTATATATCGAATATGAATATTTGAATATTTAATTGTTAATTTTATTTTTTTAAGTATCAAAATTTATATATATATATATATATATAATAAGAAAACTATTTTTGTATTTAACCCTGTTGAAAAAGCAAAAAGCAGTTGTACATCCAGGAGTCTTCTCACCTCTGTTTCCCGTTTATATAATAATTTTAACCCATACATAATAATTTAAAATATAATACAATGATAAAACATGAAGATAATTAAAAAAACAAAAGTTACAAATTAAAATTTTAGTAAATATTATATATGAATTTAATAAAATAAAAAAATAAATTATTTTTTTATGTGGATTCAAATTATAATACATAATTATCGTGTAAAATATAACTCTGAATACAAAAATTATTAAATTTAGCTCCATTCCTGTCTAGGTAAACAACCAATCCTGGCTTCATCACATAATTTGATGCGTTTACGAGGTTCAAATTCAGAAAAGTACTAGCACTTCGTATAAATGGAAAATGCCCACTAGTTTAACGTTATTAGTCATTGGCGAAACAGACATGAATTGATGATAGCCTTTGCCCAAGTAGAAAGTAGAAAACTGCATTAACAAACATGAAACACAAACCTGCACCAGAGGCCCTAATCTTTACAAAATTTATAACAGGATTAGCAACCAATGAAATTGAATAAAAAAAGATGGATCATAGGATTTTGTTTGTTCTTATTACAACAGCTCATTTCAGACATCTGATCAAAGAATCTTTACTTATACCACCTCTCTAAGCAGATTCATACTTCCTTCGCCAGTTTTCATGTAAATAATATCACAACTCATGAGAAATTAATTTAAAAGCAACCCTTAATCAATTTAGAATTACAATAAATAATACATCCAAAACCCCACCAGACAGTTATTTCATCCGACCATACCACCCATTATACCCATCCCCATGCCAAGAATCTTATAATAAAAACCAATCTTTTCTTCCTTTTCTCTCGTTCTTTCTTATTTTAAAGGATCCTATAATACATCATCTTCATTCATAAATACATAAATTCATCCTTATCACACCTTAATTCCCTCTCCTTTTAAATTATGAGGATTGGCATCAAGAAGGGTTTCTAATGATCTGGCTTTTCTGCTCCGAACTCTTCCTGCTTCTTTTAATAATTCAGCTAACCTTTTCTTCTCATCATAAACCTCAGGATTTGCTGTCCCAAGTTTTTCCTCTCTCATCTGAACAACATACTCCAGTATTTCAATGGCATCATCCAACCTGTGTTAACAGCATATATCACAACAGTAATTGCAAAACAGAAAGAACAATACAAATGTGCTCAGAATACATCAGCTGCCAGAAAGAAGTAGAATGGCAGTTATTCAGTTGAATGTTTTATAAATTCATCATACCTAACATAACCCTGGGAAAGACAGAGGAATAATAACTTAACTAAAATTAAAGAATTATTTTGTTGTGGAGTGTTGCGGATTTTGATAATCATGTATTTTGAAATGAGTTTTAGAGAAAAGGAACAGATGAATAACAACAATTGCATACCTGCCAATTGCATCATAAGTGCCGGCAAGATTACTATATACCCCGAGTGTATCAGGGTGGTATGGTCCACACTCTTGCTCCAAAATGCTCTTGGCTTCTTCAAACAACTCAACAGCCTCATTTATAGCATAGCTTTGCACACAAGCTAGCCCCATTTGATTGAGGGCAATGCCAAAGAAGGCAGATTTCCTCTCTCCACATCCACGTAGCTTTGAAATGGCACTTTTTAAGGAATTGTAAGATTCTGAATAATTCCCCAACATGTAATACATTACTCCCATCTGGGCTTCAATTCCAGCTATTGTGCTTTGTTGACCAGGGGCATCATTGTATATTTTTAAGGCTTTTTGTAGCAATTTGATTGCCTGATCAAGGTCGTCCATTGATTCATAGATAGCAGAAACATCTGTGAGACCACCTGCAATCTCCTCTGGGGGGATCCCTGTCATGGGCTTTTCATAGATTCGAAGGGCATTCTCACAGTATGATTTTGATTCCTTTAATTTCCCTGTCCTGTTATATAAATCAGCCAGCCGGACAAAGACTGACCCAATAGCTGGATGATTATCGCCTTTGGTTGTTTTAAAAGCTGTGAGTGCTTTCTGATAGGCAAAAACAGCTTCATCATATCGAGACAAAGATAAGTATGTGTCTCCAATGCTGCAATCAACAGAAGCCACCTCTGCCTCCTGGCCATTTGCCACCATGGCCATACTGGCTAAAACAAGATGCTCTAAAGCAGCTTCATGGTCTCCCTTTGTTTCACATATGAGACCCATAAGCCTCCTATCTGCTGCCTCTTCAAGAGAAGCCGGTGAACCATTCTCTTTGTGAATATCAAGAGCCATCTGGCATAGCCTTTGAGCTTCATCAAATTGCAATGCCTGCACATGAGCTTCAGCCAGATACCTGCAGGTCTCACCAACTCTAGGATCTGTTTCTCCAAGAACTTGTTTCTGGACTTCAAAACCAGTGCTGTAACAAGTTATTGAGTTTTCAAGCTGTCCTAGCATTGCATAAGTGTCACCCAACTGCATATGACCGGCAAATTTAGCCAGGGCATGCTCTTGGCCTTCCTCAATCAATGGAATCTCAATTGATTGCTCAAGAAGAGGAATTGCCTCACTGTAATGGCTTAGGCTGCAATATATTGCTGCAGTAACATGCAAACACATAACCAGTTCTAAACTGGGTTTCCCATTGGCACAAATTTCATATGATTTTGCTGCTCGAAGTGCTAATTCAAGAGCTTTCTGGGGATTGTCTCCAGAGGAAACCATATCCCTAGCTTGCTTGAGTAAAAATGGTCCAAGATCAGGATTACCTGACCCTGACTCAGAAGCATCCTCAGTTCCATTTCGTAACTTTGACCCTTTCCCTTTCTTCATGGATAAGACTCCTGTGTTTGATTTCTTTAGGGTCTTATTCTTACGCTTATCAATGGGAGGCTTCTCAGGTGGACTTTTTCCCTTAAGACTTGGTTTTTTTGATGCTTCAGAGTCCAATTGTGACTGTGACGCTATCTTCACATGACCTAAAGAAATAGATTTTACACTTGCAGATTTGGTCTTGTCCAGCTGCCCTGACTTCTTACCACTAGATGAGCTTCCCTTCTTAGAAGAGGAATTACTATGACTATCGTCTTCTGGTTTATCCACCTCCACTTGCATTATCTCAACTTCCCTCATCTCTCCTCCAATAAGATGGCGCAATTCTGAATCGATCCTAGACTCCTCACCATATGATCCAAAGCTCTGCCTTGAGGGTGACTGATCAGAACTTTGCATATCACACACATTCTCATAAAGCTGCTCAATTGAGGTGTCAACCTGCACCATCCCCTTAATGGGGTGATCTGCACTATGAGGGCTTCTTGGACTCGGCGTACTACTAGGGGACTTATTCAAAACTGAATTTTCCTTAGTATGTGAAGAGGTCCCATTCACTTCATTCATCATTGCCTCTTCTTTAATTTCATCCATAATAAGTCCGGGCATCTTTATGTACCAAAGCCAACAAAAATCCTAAACTTATCTGCACCAACATGTTTGAAATACAAACCAAACCCTATCAAACAATTGAAACCCCAGATCCTAGAAGGAGAAAAAATAAATTTTTACAACATATCCAATTTTATACAAACTGCAAAAAAGAAAAAACCAACTAAAAAAAAAAAAAATCAACAACCCCATAAAATTATCAAAAGTTCAACCTTTTAACTCATCATAACAATTTCTTATTAAAACTTCCCTTGATACCCAAAAAGCACATAGTAAGAAAAGTCTATGGTCCTTAATCAGATCTTCCAGAATTAAATCCATCCAAATATTCATTAAATCAGAAACAAATAGAAAAAACTATACATGCAAATCAACATAAATAAACAAGATACATAAAACCCACAAATAATATCACAAAATATCAAGAAAAAAATTGAAATGAAAAAAGCAAAGCCATGATAATACCTCAATACAACAGCCATGAAAGAAGAATAAAACAACAACCAAGGTGATAACTTTTCTGGATTTTACATAATAAAGACAATTGTCGAGAGAGCAAACCAAAAGATTTTACATACAACGAGAAAAAATCTACCTTTTGGAGGCTTGGTATAAATAAAGCCGGAGCTTTGGGAAGGAGACAGGAGAGGGAAATCAAGGAAAGATAAAGGGCAAAAATAAGCTGTAAAACAATATAAAAATGGAGGGTATTCGCACTTTCAGGGGTTAGAATGTCAGAAAGAAAAGGGAGAAGCCGACCTTCCCCCAAACCAAAACCCCGGGCGGTCAGCAACTGCCGATCTGTTTCCTGTCTGTTTTTTCAGTTTTCCACGTGGGAAGTTGGTAATGGTCCATAGATTGTTCAGTTAGCCAATAATGCCCTTAAGTCGAGTTGGGATTTGAAAGCCCTTTGACTTTTTCACTGTTTTTTTTTTTGCCCTTTTTGGGTGGAATGTTAGATTTTGTATATGGACAAAGTGTCACCGTCCTGCAGTCCACTTACCTTCTCTTACACTTGAAATCTACTTTCAGCAAACTTCTTTCTTTCTCTATCTTTCTATCTTTTTTTTCTTTTTCACCTTAATATTTTAGCAAAATCCTATTTTATATTGAAAAAACAAAAAATTGAAGAAAAGTAAGAATAAAAAATAAAAAATTGAGGAGTGGGGTGTATTTAATAGAGTATATATAGCCTATATAAATCCTATTAAATACACCTCATCCCTCATTTTTTATTTTTTATTCTTACTATTTCTTTTTTATTTTTTCACTTTTTGAAATCAAGTTTTTCAAAAATAAATAACTAAAAATAAGCTTCAAAGTTTATCGAATATTCATTTTCAAAAAAATTTAAAAGTTTTTAGATATTTATTTTCGAGAATCCTTGAGTCTTTTTAGAAATAGATATTCTAAAATATTTAAGATTTATCGGATCTCTATATTCGAGAAACACGATTTTATTTTTTATCAAAAATCTTAAACATGAGCTTATAAATTCATTTACTTAATTTTGTGTGTAAATGAAAATAAAATCAATATTCTCAACATGCATGACATAAATTGAATCTATTTTTTGGTTTTCTAGTTTTGTACGGACAAAATGGGGTTCTTGATTTTCTGAGCTTAGGACAAAAGCATTTTTATTTCATGCTTGCTTAAGAATTTGGTTTATTCCATTTGTACATATAATCAAATAAAAATGGACATATCGATCGTCATGTATGTGTATGCATACTGGTCCAAGCTTAAACACCTTATAAAACATTGTTAGTGACAATGTCATAAGCATATTGATAAATCTGACAGTATCTAATCTTTGATCACCAGTTTTTATTATCGGATTTGCTAATCTATTAATGATATTTTTCAATGGCCCAAAGATTAAAAATTACAATTTTTCCATTATCAAAAATTTATAAGTAAATATATATTTTAAAAAATTTATATATTCTTAAAAATGAATTTTCGAGAGTACAAAATAACTTTCAAACTTTTATTTTCGAGAAAACAATATAATTCTCAAAAATAAAGTTTTCGAGAATTATATTGCTTTTTAAAAAATAAATTTTCAATAACATAATGTAACTCTCAAAAATCTATTTTTAAAAAATATGATATAATTTTTGTATGTATAAGTTATTAAAGATATTTTTATTGTTTATTAAAAATTAAAATAATATTTGATATGTAAATATTTTTTTAAAAAAATTTTGAGACAAAAAAAAATTTAGTGATATATTTAGAACTTCCCAATACTTTAAGGTTATGCAAAACAACTAAAATTTAAAGCATAACTTTTTTTTTCTATTTTTCATTTCCACGGCAGAAAGTAAGACATGAAGCACTGTGACACCAACTTTAAACATCAGATGTGGTACCTTTTAGGATTTGCATGTATTTCAGTCACCTCAATTATTATAGGAAAGGGTGCTGCACATCACGCAATTAAAAAACTAGTATATTTAAAATTAAATTTTAATTTCTATAAACTTAATATTTTATAATTTTTAATGTAAAAAATAAATATATATATATATATATATGAAAAATAATTTTAAAACATAAAAAATTTAAATTTAAATGTTATAAAACCGGAAAAAAATATAGAATTTTTTAACATTCTAAAAAAAATAAAAAAATAAAACTAAGGAGTATTATATCTGGTAATTCGTATTTTCGTATCGTATTTGATATATAAAACGATAAAAATTATTAAAATATAACACGATACAAATTATAAAATGTATTTAAATCTTAAATATAAATACGGTATGTTAAATATACGTGTTATATGTGATACGATACTATTAATATGTATATAATTAATTCTTTTAAATATGATACAAATAAACATAAATAATACGGATATATATGAACATATATGACTAACACACATATATATATATATATGAATAGACATGACTAACATAAATATATACAAGAACATGACTAAAATAATAAATAATTATAAATTATCTATCATTTATAACTTAATAAATTTAACATATAATATCAAAAAGTCTTACATATTAAAAAAATAAAAAAAAATTAATACTCATTTAATATATTTTTTAATTTTAATTTATATTACATAACTATATTCATTTATAATATCAAATTCAAAATGATAAACTATTAAAGATTAAAGAATAAAATAATAATGGATAGGTCTAATATTAATATTTATATTGTATTTATATTATTAATATAAAAAAGTAATTTTGTAATTATTATTAAATGACTATTATAATTAAATGTTTAAAATAATTTTGATATAATATTAATAGCTAATTAAGTATCATAATTAAAAGATTAGAAATTAATATAATCTTTATATGTTTATATAATAAATATAAAGAATTTGTTAAATGTAATAAATATATTAAACGTGTACTCGTATAATAAAATTAAATTAAATATATTATTCGTATCATGTCATGTGTTTAAATTAGTTAATATATATATACAATACAAATTGTATTATTTCAAAATTCGTATTGACAAAAATAGATACAAAACATGTTTTTTTAAAATACATATATTATTTTTTATCATATTGTTGTATCATGTCTGAAATTGTCAAAGTTTAGAGAGTACTGTATCCAAAAACTTTAAATGTTATAAAAACTATTTGTCGGCCGAGAAAATTCCATGAAATTTTCCTAAACCATGCATTGGAAATTTACCAAATCAAGATGCATCAGTACTATGCCTCTGGTTTCTCTTTTGTAAATCCACCCATATATGAAACTAAATATATTATTCAGTCTGTTAAACCTTTTAAAAAAATGTATGTTGTACCTATAGGATCATTGCACATTTAAGATTTATGTCATATGGTAACGGTTAAGACTTAAATCTAAAACTATTCACTATCCAAGCAAATGATTTTACTAGTTGATTCCAAGATTCATTTATATAAATTGAAAATTATATAGTAATAATAATACTACTTAAAATTATTTATATTTTGATTAAGCTTTTATTCTTGTAGAAGCATGATTAACTTCATTTCAAATTCTTAGGAGAGTAGAAGTGTTAGGAAAAAAGTTTAATTGATTGAGTTAGCAAGCAGTAATCAAAGGACAAAGAAAAGTGGGTGTAATAAAAATTTTAAAAAAAAAAAAAAAGGAAAAATGTTATCACATCATACCACATAGGATGACAAACAAACAAACAAGCTCTTAAATGTAAACAATGTTGAGTACAGAACCAGTTTGTTGGAATATCTATTTCAAACTGTTAAATTTTTTTCACCCACTTTCTTGGCCTCCATTTTCATTTCTTGTGTAGAGCATTTATTGAGATGGAGCTAATGCCCATGAAGCAATTAGTGGGGAATGTCCTTTTAGGCCTCTACTCTCTTGTTTTTAATGAGTTCATTATATTTTCTTTAAATTCGTGAAAACATTTTTTTTTTATTTATAAACTCTAGCTTAGAATCACAAGAAGGCTAAACATTTTGGCTTTAGACAACAAACTTTAAGCACATTACTACAAGTACTATAACAACATTTTCTTTTGGAGAATTTTAGATGCTAAAGCTTAAAACCAAGTTATGAAAGAGGAGCATTATAAGGTGAAAAAAGGTGCAAAAACTGTTGAATAAAATTCGGGGTGCTCAAACGGTGGAAATAATATGTGGAATCCAATGAAAATGGGAGTATGGGACTTGAAAATGTTACCCAAAAAGAAAATAAAAATATCTCAATGATCCTTCTTGATCGGTGGGGTATATAAACGCAATGCCTCCATGTACCTTACTCTTCTAAAATCATTTAATTATTATGGTTATGTTGGACCACTTAATGTTTGGGTTTGAAACTTTTTTATTAGCTTATTATTTTGGCCAACCAAAGTCAGTCTTTGTGACGATAAAAGAATGAATGACAGAGCACCAAATTTGGATGAGCTCAAATCATATTCAACCATTAAATGATAAAAAGAGAGACCTAACAACTCTCTAATTACAACTCAAATCACAAGTGGCACTTTGGATTTGAGCACTTAATCATTTTTAATTGATAAATTAAGGACAAAAAAAAGAATCGAATTCAAAATTTAATATAATTTATTGAAATAATTATCTTAAAAAATAATTTAAAATTTAAATCTCAATAATTTGTAACTTTTTCTCTTATCCCTGAACTGTCACTTTTTTGTGTAAAAAAAGTGATTGAAAATAATTAATAAACGTGGACAAAGACAAGATCATTAGCTTTTTTTCTTGTTAATTTGTAAAGACTACTTCATCTCTTCACTCTTGAGCGGGTGTTTTCCTCTGATTTGTACTCTCCATAATGAAAATTATTACTTAAAAATATGGTCATAGTAATGATCAGCACTCAACAGGAAGTTTGAACTTGACAAAACAAAAAGATGGCAAACAAACTGGGAAGTTTGAAATAATTCATTAAAAAAGGGAAAAACTCGATAAATTGACAGCTGTGGGATTTGAACCCACGCCCTTTCGGACCAGAGCCTAAATCTGGCGCCTTAGACCACTCGGCCAAACTGTCAAGTTGTGTCAATTAAACAACTAACATATTTAAATACCTGGTCATAGAGAAATTGCAACCACATCGTATTTGACAATTTCTCTCTTGTTGAACGATGCACATAAATTTTCTTTTTTGTTATTAGGATAGATAAATTTTTCTAGATCCATCCCTCAAGGGAATCAAACATAATTTTTTATTATCTAGCTTAAGTAAAAATCAATCGAATTAAATGGATATCAACGGATACATATAAAATAAATCTATCTATTATCCACACATATATGAATGATTTCATATGTAAGAAAAACATTATGTGATTTCATTTTACGAAATTACAACTATACATTCCAAGGAATACCATTTTTACAGATAAATACTCAATACCAAATCTTCTTCAAAGGACTCTACATAACTTTC